AGTATGCTATACATGCACGACATACAGCATAGATGAAATTTCAGTCCTCTCGGACCCACGGTGCAAACAGGCAATAGAAAAATAAATTTTCTATAAATAGAAAAGACACAGCAACCCAGGTGTGAGGTGTGTTTGACCACTGTTTCTTCATAAGTCATTTACTAAAATAAAACCAGCAGCAGTAACACCACACAAATGTATCATTATACCATAAAGTATACGTCCTTGTCACTTATGGATGTGAAATTGAACAGAAAGTCCCTTGCGTACTTTATAGTTCTTACACATAAGAAGTAAAAGAGTGGTATGCACTCTAAAAGTGTGTTGTAAAGAGATGCAAGTGGCTTTTTGTCGCTGACAGCAGCAAGTACAGTCGGTGATTCTTAGGTCAAGGTGATTTGTCATGTCAAGCAACTTTTCACCTCGAGTTCTATGGTTGTTCACCAGCCTGACAGCCTTCAGCAACGCCACACTGTTTCCTGGCTCCACTTCATAATTGATGAGGAAGCAAGGAATATGGGATTTGATCCAGAGTGAGGGTGCCTTTTAGGCCTAGGACAGATGTACAGAGGTGCTGGTTTTAACTCTTCATCTGAAATGGCTATGCCACTGAGGACTGGTGGAGAGCTAGCTCAGTGGCAAGCTGAAAGACAATAATAAACCATTTAGGATGACTGACTCTTCAGAGATGATGTATGGCAGCAGGTTACAGTAGGGAAGACATAGCATTTTAATATACGCTATCATGATGTAAATTCCCACAACCCCCTGTAATTATGTGACTACAGTGGGTACAGGAGGTAGGTAATAATATATCAAGCTTAGATAGTTAAATTGTGAGAATCTAGGTTTTGGACTGTTGTTCAGAGAAAACAAGCCATTAAAAGACATTACCTTGGAGTCAGAGAAATTGGGACGGGCATTTTTTACTACTTGTTGACATTTCATAGACTATTAATTGATCAATTGAGATTGTATTTTTAATCTATAATTAAAATAGTGCTACTTGTTAGTCCTAGTTGCTTGTTGATTTCTTTGTTTTGTTGAAACAGCATTTTTTGTAACAAAGATTTATATGTTGTCTTATACCTAAGCTGTGGTATAATATAATATAAATGTTGCAGTTATGTTCACAATCCACCTAGTTGTATGATCTGTCTGTGTAAAGCCAGTGCTTAACGCAGGCAGTAACGCAGCCTCCAACATAAGAATGATTAAAGTTCTTTCTCAAATCTCATTTAGTTTTTGCCCTCTCACTCATTCTCCTGTTTTTTTTCCTTTCCTCTTCTGACAATTTGTCTCCCCTGTTCAAATGAAAGGGACAGCAAGCTTCAAGCTAAAAAGAAGATAAAAATTAATAATATCACTGCTGAACTCTGGAGACGTTTTTAAAACTGATGTTTGAACTTGTGAAAAACGACAGTTTTATATAATTTGTGTCTAATTGCTGGTGAAGAAAATTGATTTCGGAGGGGTCAGCAACTTGCCAGACTGGCACTGTCATTGCGAATTATCAGTAATTGAATGAAATTAGTAGGTGAATAAATGTTGCAAAATACCGTAATATAGTTTCTAATTTTAAAGACAAATATGTATAGGACTACAACATGTTTATGTGTTTCACAATTGTTTAAAAAGTATTAATAAATGTTTTTGATGGATATAGCTGATGAAAGAAAACTTTTAACTTTTAAATCTTAGATTTTGTTAAACTAAGCATTCAAAGACTTACATCTTTATGTGCACTGTTTGAGTTTTCCATGAAACCTACTCTGTATAGTACTCTTTATATATTTTTAAATTATAAAAATTTAATGTAAATAAGTAGTTTTATCATACAGTTTTTGCATCTAAAGCGGAGCAATGCAATGTATCACCAACAGCAAACAGCTTTGGTTATATAATTTTTTACAGTTTATACATCCATAAAAAAACTGTTGCATAACTTGCTGTGTTTAACATGGAATTAGAAAATATATCCAATAAGCCTTTTAAAAACACATTTCTAATCTCCAGTATTTTATAACGCTCTAAAAACACATTTATTATTCAGAATCAATCAACCAATTCCTCAAACTAAACCAAAAAAACAACAGTATTAATATCAAATTAACTGTCACCATGGAAAATGTCAAAACTTTTCCTGTTACACATTGTCGAAATAGTAACAAAATGAGAATTGCAACAAAACCACATTAGAAATCTCCTGGGAGATGCGTTTTAATCTTTCCTCTTCTGCAAAGCTTTTCTCTCTGCGGGTGATTCCACTGAAATGTGGAGCATACGGTGTATTGTGTACTGCGTACTGTGCACTCTACCAGTAAAAACATGTCTCACACTGGCCTCACACCCGGAGATCAAATGTATCCAAAAAAAGATCTTCATATGGAATCAAAATGCTTGTTCTTGATTTCTGAGCATTTAATAAATAATTCAGATGCAATCTCATTCTAAAAGGACTATGATGTAAAGTCCACAGAGGATATTTCAAAGACATAGGAACGCATAAAAGTATGAATAGTTCAGGTAAATCAAAAATGTGTCCAGACCTATTTTTTAAACTATTTTTAAACACTGTTTCTCATTTGTATTAACATTAATTAGAATAATCACATAGAATGGACTACAATAATTTATGGCCTCATGAAAACACCCCCAGTGTTACAGAAGAGGCATATTCCATTGCAAGCAGTTCAAATCTTACAGGATACTTACAATGCTTATTACTTTGTCTTAAAGCAAAATACTACACTGCTCAACAGCACAGGATCACTCCACACCCGAGCAACACAACAACAGCTATGAGAAGAAAATTAAACTCACCTTAGCGACCCTGTTGGCAACCTCCCGACCCACCATTAGCCCCTGGACAAACGTCCGTGCAGCGATGAAGGCCCTGGTGACCTGGGCTTTCAGCTTCCTGGGCACATCTCCAAAAGGCTTTAGCTGATCTGTATATTTACTGACGCACTCCAGGTAGTCATCTGTGAAGTGGTACTGGGAGTTGAGTAACTGGAACATGCGCTCCAGTAGCCTGGACCAGAAGTCATTCAGCATCTCCTCCAGGTTGACGTTGCCCCCTGTGTAGTAGCGCTTTAGCTCAGTAAACAGGTCCTGGAACACCTCTGAGTTCTGCATATACAGCTTCCCGTATGTCCGTGTGAACATGCTGTTGAGAGACTTCTCAGAATTGTCCAGCAGCTCCAAGAAAAACTCTAGATAGATGGATAGTTTAGGGGAAAGAAGGGAGGGATAAAACAGTCATTATGCACATATATACAGTCTCAGTTGCCTTTTCCTACATTATAAGCCGGACAAAAGGCTTCAAAAGCATGAGACAAAGGTATAATGTCACTGTACTGTACTGTACTGTTGTTGTACTTTAATGTCTCATTTTATGGCTATTTTAGAGCAATGTATAGCAGCCAGCAGGTACTTGATTATGTGAAGAAAGTCAGTCCAAAGCATTAATAATTTAATAGCAGAAATAATGGGCCACAAGGACTATGAATGATTAATGTAAAGGTTCTGATTGCATACTGTAACAAAATATTCATAAGATTTGGACACAGACACTAGTATACATTATCATCCTGAGCACCCACCATTATTCCCAGATGCATTAGTTTCTCACTGAAACAATTTATTTGTCCACCACAGCAGCTAGCCTATGAGCCTATAATTGAATATTGTGTAACAGTATATTGAAAGAAGCTTCATTCGCATTGAATTTTCTGAAGAGTATGTTAAATGTAAGATACAAAATTTCCCCGTGAGACAAGCACATTATTTCTATTTTTGTATTTGCCACTGATTCAGTACACACACCTTACACTATGACAGTGACATTCAAAAATAATACTTTATAACAAATTAAACTTTTAACTTTAAAACTGAACAGAAATTTTTATTTTCTCACTTTCAATGATGAAAAAAAAATCATATAAATACACATCTAATGATTCTGCAGTCAGAATTTTTCCTTTTTTAAAAGAGGATGAAAACATTTTTATATCATATTTGAGTCTAAGCTTCAAGCCTGTGGGTGGGCTTTTCCCATGGCAACAGCTGACTGACATTTGAGAGCTGGCATTAGGAGACACATGCTGATGGTGCGCTACTGACTGCGACATCAGACTTTACAGCTTACGAAAGTTGTTGCAAGACATTTCTTCACCTTCTTTTTTCAATAAACCCAAATAGTGTTATGTACTGTTAGCGTTTTAAGATGCATGTCCATTTACAACTTGCAGCTTTTGAGAAGATCCTTCATTTGTAGTCCACTCAGTCAGTAGAAGCTAGTTAGCCTAGCTTGCTAACATTTCTACCAACTCCTACTGGATGTTCATTTCTGTTCATGTTGGGTCTGTCCCATTAGGACACATTAGTCAGTGTTTCCCACAGGATGACAGTTTAAGTGAAGCGGGGGCGGCCACACTGGACACTAAGCCACACTTAGATAACTGTGTCTCTCTCTCTCTCTCTCAGACACACACACACAAACACACACAGGCTTGCCCTACCCGGCCTCTCTCTATTTCTCTCTCCCTGTATGTGTCTCTGTTGACTTACTTCACCAGTATGTTTGATAAAGTCGCCCAATAGCACAACTCACGTTTTGGAGTTTTCACCTGTGATTTTGTTTTTTAAAACAGCAGGTGAGCTGCGTGTGGAGGAGGCTCATTGTTAATGACGTAGCCTATCAAAACAATAAAAAAACAACATGGTAACGAATCGGCATCAACTGGTGTGTTCACTGCTGTTTACTCGTGCTTTACCTGGTCTGTGCTGGTAAAATACACTGTATCTGTCATTAGACGGTACAGTAGGGTCAGAGTGAGGGAAGATTGTCCACTAGTTAATCGATCGTGGATACATCAGTTTTTATTGTAAATGACATCAAACATAGACATCAAAATGCACAAGTACATCAAATAAATTCAAAGGTAACATTCACAGTAATTATGTTATTGTTTCTTTGTCATCTGCCCAAGTGGCTTTCTTCCATGTGAGCACCTGATCTCTTGAGCATTAACTGAGCTAACAGAGATAAAAAAAAAAATAGAAGGAAAAAAGCAGCATTAGCTTGGGAGTCTCACTGAAGCCTTGCTAATGGGATCCCATGTTCCTGAGTGCACAGACGTAAATGCTAGGCAGATCATAACACATCCCTCCATGCACAAATGTCAAATATTTCTCCTCCCTTTTTTGCAAACAAACATGCTGTAGATATTTCACGTGTCATGCTTACTAATAAACCATATGGGACCTCTTCTCCTAATTGTGTATTCTGGCTGACATTTCTTTGCATTGTTGACGATAGCAGTCACACCCCTACATGGCGGTCATATCTACTTCTAAGAATACATTTCCCTCCTGTGATATGACTAAAGTATAAGACATGATGAATCACTGTACAATCAATGTTCATGCAGTACATTTATTTTTTTGTAGTGAAGGAAGGCTGTGCTGTGTGTCAACAACAACAAAATAACAACATATCAAGATCATTCAGACTACCATGTCTAACATTACACTCCTTATAAATGCATCACTCATTGTTATCAAACCATATTTAGGCAAAAGGGTTTAAGAAAAGGCAATGTTTAAATGAACTAGAATAATACAAACACTTGCTGGGTTGAAGAGTCAAACTCTGAACAATTTGGCATCACTGAGACTAAAATCCTGAACCCTGCATGATAATCCACTGTTCTGCAAAGTGTGCTAAACCGCCAGTGCGCCTGAGAAGCTTACTGGATATATTATATCTGCATATCCTCTGGCTCTACATGCTAATGTTACTAGTGGTTTGCTTGCCTACTACTTCCAAGATATCGCTCATGTTAAACTACTCTGGAATCCAGTTTTGTATTCTTCAACTTTATTTGCAATTTGTTTAGCCAATTGTTTTTTTTTTCTATTGAAATGGCACACCATGTCCATACCTAAAACAGGCAGGAGACCAGTCCCTAGTCACTCACTCTAGTTTCTTTGCAACTAAGTGACCTGCCATTACACCTACATTTGTTTAAATATTAAGAGCCTGCAGGGCTTTTTTCATTCCATTTTTTCAATTAGACCCAAATCAAGGACATGTAAGCCCATGTGTATTGCGCATACAATATTGTGCATATGTCTGTGTTACCATTTAAATATGTATCACCCATTGTAAGAGCATTGTGAGAACAAAAAAGCAACACAATATTATTCAAATTATTTACTATAGTTATGTGTAAAAGACTAAATTGTATTCCTAAATACTTGGAAAGAGTTGAGAGCGTTTTCTTTTATGTTCTTATGTTAGATAACCATACTTGATATGTGATAAGCTTTCACATTTTGAAATGACACCAATGAAAGGAGTGCAATTACAGTCCTCTTTGTAGTACTGGAAATAAAGAAAAAGTATATATTGTTACCAAAATACGAATACACCGTCGATATGTCTGTGGACTGGGTTGAAAAAAAGATTGGGACAGTATTTCATGTCTGTATAGTTCATGCAAAGTCCATTACAATTATTTTCATGAAAAAAATGATCAAGAAAAATAGACAGAGATAAAATAGATTGAGCTGGGGCGACAATTCTGAACTCATGAAACGATCCTTTATACAGGATAATTGAGTCTCAGGCAATGAGACGAGTGGTCATTATGAACAGATCACAAACTATTCTGCACAGTATTGTGAAGTTATTGTGAAAGACTGCTAATAGGTAATAATTAGATAAAATAACCTGTGGATTTGGACTACATAAATTACTTTGATAAAGCAGTGTATAAGCCAGTGACAACTTACACCACATAATGACATTCAGGGTTTCTATGATTATATGTGACTGACTAAAACTGGCTCTGATCATTTTGTCGGACAGTGGTTATTGGTTGTCCAATTAAAAATATGTTAAACAACTAACTTCAGTTGTCTTCTGTAATTTAGGCCTCTGTGGACTAAAAACCAGAAAACCAGTCCCATGATTTTGTATCCACATAGCATCATGATAGATCTTCACAACAATGTACAAGGTTACACTATTTGAGAATGTCATTCTTAGCACCACTAGCGAGAGTGCTAGTCTAATGGCAATGTCGGTTTACCCAGTTGGGTGTGAGGAACAGCATGACAGCATCACATGAATGCCTTTTAGTTTTATATTTAAAAAGAATACAATTTACAAAAACAGCTTTTACAAACGAGTCTACTTTTTAAAGTATACTTTACTTCTTGTGTAACTGTAGAGTTTGTATGTGATTTCAAGGCCTTTACCTGGAAAACAGGCTGTACTGAGAGTTTCAGATAGCAGCTACAGCTTGCCAACTCATGAAGAGTGAATTGCTCTCTGCTGGCCAAAATATATATTTGGCCAGGGAATTATCATTGAGAGTTATTGACCTTGGATAACATTCAGCTATCCGGCCTTTAGGGTCTTAATACTTGGAAACATGTCGATACATGGGTGTATGCTTCCTGACACAATACATTTAGGAATCATACTACAATCCAACCTCTCAAATCCAAAACTCTGAATGAATAATAAATGATGTATAAATCAAAAATAAGTTGGAAAATACTTCATGGATGTAGCAAGAAAATGGAAAAGCAAGCCAACAAACTTAAGAGGGCTTGTAAGAGCTAAACTAACTATGAAAGACAGGCACATACCAAGAAGTTTTTTCCAAAAGTTCCACTGTATTTTTTACTGATGTATCTCTTAGTTATATAAACATAAAATCCATATTGCATTGTATAAATTGTTGAATACACATAAATAAAATAAATTCATCTGTGTTTTCAGTTTTCTGTGACATGACTGGCACAGAGCCCAATATGGGCTAACCTACACTGGACACTCATAGAATCGCAATAGAGGCACGTGAATTATCCCTTTATTTCAAGCCTTGAATATTTATATCACCACTCAAAAGAAGAAAAACAAAGATATGTGAACAAACTGTCCACATACAGCAATGGCGGCAGTATTTCACTAACTGAAAGCAGCGACAAGACCAAAAGATTACAGAGAAGGTATTATTCCGTAGAAGCACAACAACTTGTTGATTATTGCATCGGATCACACAACAACTATCCAGCATTTTGGCTCAACAAACTTGGTCTGTGTTGAAAATCATTACCGTTACGTTAGCTGGTGAGCAGCTGAAGAAAGCCTTGTTTTGCCCCTTGTTCCTATAAGGATGTAAAGTCACATGAAAAC